TTTATGACAAGTGGAGAAAGGAGCAGGGCTGTATTGAAATCTGTGTGGTAGGAGCTCCATTCATGTGAAGAGACTCCATTCAGGGCCTTACAAAGGGTATGAGTCAACTGCAAAGAAAGGAGGCATTTCACAGAAACTGAAGTGTGACCCTTTGTTTTTCCTGACCCTGAGGTCCTCCGCGACACAAAAGAGGACCCCAGCACTGATTCTGCAGGAACAAATGCCTGTTGTGAGCGAGTGTATTTGAGGAGCAGTGACAATAAGGAATGACCCGAGGTGCTTGTTTCCAGCCCTTGTTTCCCAAGGGACTGCCAAGGGGGGAGTCCGACGTGCAGCCCGACAGAGGTGGAGGAGATGAGGGTGCCGGGAAGCTCTTCCCAGTGCAAGCATTTTCCTAGAAAACCTCTCCTGAAATGCATGATCTGACCATCCACACTTACTACCGGGACACCCGGATAGTGGGTGTTTTGGATTCAGTCCTGCAAAATCTATAGAATACAGCTTTTATTTAGCCATTACGTGAAGTGGGACTTTTCTAATTTAGGACTAGCAAGGGATTAGGATGGCTTAGTAGCCTTGTCTTTATTCCAACCTTCCATTAGCCCGTGACTACTTTCTTTCACAATCAAAGTAGACATGAAAGGGATATTTCGCTTTGCCCTTTTCATTATCCCAAAGTGCTGCAGGTCCTTATTAAAGCTCATGATGGAATTAGGGTGCAGAATGATGAATTTAAAGGTATCGTAAAACTCTTCCTGGTAAATAGCAGTCCCCAAATATATTCCAGTTGTGATCCCAGAGAGGGTACTGGAGGCGTCCCAACCAGCCATGCAAGGGCTCTAGAGATCGTTTGAGCGGAGGAAATGCATTTGCATATGGATGTCATGCTAAGGAGGCAGGCCAGCCCAGATCTCATTACTGCCAATGACGTGTGTGGGAGAAGTGATTTAGTTTACAGCCAGTGCCAGGCGTGGCACAATGAGGAAGTACTGAATTCATACAAAGCTCTTTTTTGCTTCTAAGACCTAAAAATCAGGGGATTTCAAGCAGCTCTGGGAGGCCCGGTGTTAGGTGACATGGTCTTGTTAGCATGGGGGAGAGAACAGAGCCATGACTGAGGTGAGGGAAGTGGGGAGAAGGAAGCTTCAAGATTTAGTATTGATGTCATGGAGGCAAGGAGAGGAGGAGAAAGAAAAGGAGAAGAGAAGAAAGAGCAACTGAAGATGGAAAACCAGCAGGCAGAGCTGGCTCTGCAGGAATCATGGCTGCCAAAGCCGGACAGTTGGACTTTGGAGGTGCCAGAATTTTTATCCCGAGTCCTTGTTTTAGTCTGCTCAACTCAAAATGCTGTCAAATGCATTGGGCCTGGGGCAAGATGTCCAACTTCAGAGACAAGAGAAGTTTCCGAGAACTGGGAAGGAGAGAAGGGACTCCAGGATAAAGCTGGGGTTGGAGTAATTGGGAGTCGCTGCTCTGTTTGAGCCATCGCCCAGCATCTTCATATTCCAGTGGAGCCGCCTCCGCTTTTCCTGCTGCAGTAGGCACTGCCTCAGGCAAGGGGGAGCAGAAAGGGGCCTGGGGGCACATTCTGGGCATGTATTTCAGGGGATAAAGAGATTACGATGCTCAGGCAACTTCAGGAAGAGCGAACTGAATTGGGATCAGTGTCTTGGGTGGCCTCCTAGCTGTGAGTAATGAATCAGTCAAGCAGAAGAAAGCAGGCAGAGAGAAGGAAAGGGTGAATGAGAAGGAGGAATAAGTCAGAGGGATTAATGCCAGAGATAAGGCAGCCTGGGAGAGGGAGCTGAGAGAGCAGCTCAGAGCATGCACCGCACCCAGAGCGTTGGGCCAGAATTTAAAAGGTTGAGAGGGCCTTGAAGAGGGGCCCAATTTTGGGGTTTATAGGGCCTGACACCTCTGGTGTTTTATACTGACATGGTATCATCACACAGGGTAGCAGGGACGAAGGGCTGTGAGCTGCTGCCCATTGTCTGGGCATGGGACGTGACTGTGTATCCATCTGCAGCTCACAATATGAAAACCTGAAGAAAGATCTTTCAAGAGGAATTATTCCTGCCTTATTCATGGCACAGCAGCTGGTTTTAATGGATTTTAACTGTTTGGCTGCAATCACCCACAATACATGTAATCAAAAGGGTTGTGAGCTGCTAAAACTCACTCCTGGAGTAGTCTGGAAATGCTGTCTCTGGAAATACAGGATGGTTTTGGGTACCTTAATTTAAGCTATGTTGTTCTGCAATTTTCTAGAGAGGGCAATCAGTGGGTCAGTTGGCCAGGGGGATGTGAAGGCCACTTCAGCGATTTATGAATGGGTGAATACAGTTTGGAGAGTTCCCTGGTTTCTGCTTCATCTGAGTTGCACTCAAAGGGTATGGGACAGTGATATTTGGCTGGGTTACTGCAAATTAATATTGTCTACTTGATATTGCAATTGAATTCAGAAAAGCTGTAAGATGCCTCTAATGAACAAAACCCAGTTTTAGCATTTGTGTGTCTCTGAGAAAATACCGAGGTTCATTGAAGTGATGGCCTTTACACGCTATTTTAGGACAACTGTATGCTATTGAATGTTTTACTATGTGCGAGTCATCTCAATGCTCTTCATACCCGGCTGTAGGAGGGCAGCATGTGGACTAGAAGGAGGGCAACACGTAGACCATCTAGAAGAAGTTAGAAAGATGATTTGTCATAAAAGAGGAAGCAGGAATCAGCTAAATTTGCAGAGGATCTGAAGAGCAAAGATGAGACAGAATATCGTGCAATATTTTCTAGATGTAGGAAAGAGGAGAAAAAGAGAATATACCAATATATTATTGTTTGGTGGGGCTCTGCTGGCAGACTGAATTCTGTTGGGGATGGCTCATTTCTCCTCAGCAACAACAGCAGGTTTCAAATAACACTTCATATTTCCTAGGTTTAGCAGATGAAGAAAAAGAATTACTTGGGAGGCAAATAGAGCAGATTTGCAAATAGAGGAGAATGTTTTATGGCCAGACTTACAAACATTTGGCTCCTGCAGATGCCAGAAGACTTTGCATCTGCTTTAATCAACGTGGGTTGATCCTTTCTGATTATTTCTTCGAGATCCCCGCGGCTCTTAAAGCAGTAGTTTTATATTATCTAAGACAAAGCGACTGTTCAGCTTCACACACAGGGCAACTTACTTGCAAATTCAAACTCCGCAGCTTTTGGTCGGTAAGAAAGGCAAGTAAGAGCTGATGAACTGAGAACAGATATTTATTAAGAATTCTGTGATTCCCCCTCCAAGGTATCTCGGCTGTCTTTTACGTATGTCTTCATTAGAGATATCATAGGCTCTTCTGTTTATAATGTCTTCTTTATATTTTGGAAAAAAAAAAAAGTAGGAATTAAAGACTTCTTTTGCAAGAAGGTTTAAAATGTACCTGGGAAATGACTGCATTATGCTCAGCTGAGTGTAAATAATGGCTGCAGAGTGGCAGACACTTAAAGTAATTCATAAGAAATCTGAAATTGCCCATTAATTGCTGTCTCAGGGGATACAGGTCTTTTACGGCAGGAATCTCTTCGGCAGATGGGATAAGAAGAGAAGTAATGCAGCTACTGTACTGGGCAAGATGCAGTTGTTCTTTTTAATCCTTTTACCGCTTTGTTGTATTCTTATAGCAGGAAGGTGCCTATCAGATGTGGAGGTATTTCGTGTCAAGTTGTGTGGTGGAAGCAACTTCCAAGGGAAGCACATGTAACTGTTGTCCTGAGAAGGTGTGCTGGCTCAGAGAAGTTTAGTTTTTGGGTTTTGTTTTATTTTTGAGCTGTTATTGTTCTTTCACATCTGTATTTAGGAGCTGTTGGCCTCAAAATGTTGTATGGCCAGGCTTGTGAACAGTTAGTTTCTGCAGACCCCAGAAGACTCTCCGCTTGCTTTGATCAAAAGAGACTGATTATTTCCTTGAGATCCCTGTGGTTCTTGGAGCGGTAGTTACATACCACCTACAACAAACTCAACGTTCAGCTTCTCTTCACGCGGAGGAGAAGTCACCAGTAGATTCAAGCTGTCTGTCTGTTCAGTTATTAGCAAATGGTTGAGAGAAAATCAAACCAGCCTGGAACTGCTGAGCAGCGCAGTGGTCGGCGTAGCGGCCCTATGGTGTCACCCTGACTACTTTAGTTTTCAGGATGGTTAGATTGGGTTGGAGTGTAATGGGATTGGGTCTCCCTGCATGTTTACACTGTCCCTATTGTAATGTATCTTCTTTAAGACAAGATCTTCTTTAAATGTAAGAGGTAAGGAGAGAGGGGACAGGGCAGGCAAGCACTGTATATAGCATCTGTAACATTTAATTATATGAGACAGGGATTTTCCATATGCCTTGCAACACAAAGAACATTTAGATATCAGCATCACAGTATATATTTTCTAAATCACAACACCCACACATTTCCTTAGCCAAGTAGAACTTTTCCTTCTATGGCTGCATATCTAAAATTAGCCTGAAGGTCAAATCTGAATAGAAATACCCTTGCCATTGAACGTGCTGGGAATGATTGGTGCAACGGGCTCAATTTTCCCATCGAAAACCTTCATTTATTTTTTTTAAATAACAGTTGCTTTTACAATTAAAGAGCTTGGAGAAAGGCAAAATGAGGCCTGCTGTATAAAAATCATCATCAATATTCTGCTTTCACTGCAAGGCTATTTTTATAGCCAACTATTTTAAATGTAACAAGATGGATATAGTGAAGCCATAGTATAAAGATGTGGCAAAAGGCTTCCGAATAGCTGAGCTGAGCACCGGCATGTGAAAGAAAGGCCTTAACATTTGGAACATGTTTGTATATGAAAGATATACACAATGAAGAATTCTAAGTTAAGAAATGTATTGTCGAGAAGAAATGAATAGTTTAGGTCTAAAAATACTTGCTTAACCTGCAGTTGTATTATGTGAGGACTATGCAGCCTATACTGCACAAACGCAAAAGCACCGTCTTGCAAGAAGTGCCATTTATCAGCCACAGTGTTTTATTGAGTGCTTTAATAATACAAGTGTACATCAACTGATCCACAGTCAAAAGTGGCAGGTCCCTAAGAAATTTACAAGCACTTTTTTTTTTTTTAAGTAAATCAAAATACATATTAATTTGTTCAACGCAATAGCCTTTTGTGTGGGAAACAGAAGGCTAGTGATAAACACAGTCTTAGTAATGCACAGTGATTCTTGATTTTAAGCTTTTATACAAAACTTGTTCCCAGTAGCATGCACCCACCATTAAAGACTTCAGTACAAAAAAATAACCCTAAACACTACATTTAAGTAGAAACGAGATATAATTCTGAATTTGTTTGTTTTCCCAAAAACCACATGAAAGAAAAAAAACCAAAACCCACATTAATACAAAGCTTTGTGACAAAGCTCTATACTATTACAGATCCAACATTCTTTGCACTGATAACCAAAATTCCCTGTCTACATTTGAGGGAAACAACTTTCAAGTTAACAGAACAAAAAAACCCAGAACAAATAAAAATAAAAATAAAACCAAAAAGAAAGTAAGGACAACCTTTTGTCACAAAATGGTTCAAAATGTAATAAAAAATAAGAATGACGGGAAGGGCTATTGATGCACTTAGTGAATGTGCTTGCACAGGTCCAGCAAATCCTAGAGTAGGTTCCTATGTGGCATATCGCTTGGTCCACTGTCTGGCCATTCTGTCGTGCTCTGCTCTGTTAGTCATATACTGAGTGGCAATACTTCCAACCAGGGGGTCAGCTGAAAAGGAAACACAAACCGTGAAATACTCGACAGCCTTGCAAGGATGAAAAAGCTATTCTTAGATCCACGTTCATTCACTTCTCTTAGGTTTAACTGTAGGAACAAGGTGCCTACATCTACTAGTCGCATTTTGAAAGCACACATGCATACAGGAAGAAAGAAAGAAGAAGAAGATGGGGAGGAGTTGGCTGGTAAACGTTTCTGGTATACATATAACTAAAATAATTTTCTAAAATTCTGCCTCACAAACAGATGTTCCAATAATTTTATTTTGAGCTAAAAGTCGCTTTCAGGTGATAAGAATAAACATACTATGTCATTTATTTATGGCATTAGACTCCCACAAATATCACCTAAGAGGAGGATGGGCTCTAATTTTGTTATCAGGTTCAATGTTTTGGTTTTTTTTTTTTTAAAAAATACTTTTAGTTTTACAGCATAAAGAAAGATAAAGAATTAGGGCAGTAAGTACTGTTTTCAAAGCAACAAAAGTTAATTCCAAGCTTTGGGAATTGATATTTCATTTATGGGATCTTTCTGAGCATTCCCATGGCCAGAACGCTGCGAGATTTGGTCTGGATCTACAAAATACTTCACAAATAATTAATCAAAATCATTCATCAGCCCTCTAAGAAAAACAAAGCAAGGCAGGACTTTCCCAGAAGTGACCGTATGCAATCAACATTCTTCTCTTTCAGACAACATTTTTCTCTTCTCAATTTAAAGCAGACAAAATGTATAGAGATTTTCCTTTTTTTGAGGGAACCCATACTCCTGATATTTCTGCAACAGTAAATTTCCTGAGATTGTACCACGCAAGTTCAGAAGCAATGATACCATGACTTAGGACAGATGAACATGATTTCTTCTAAAAGCTAGTTAATAATCAGCTTTGTAGCTGACTGAAGACGGTGCCATTGAACAACATGAATCTTGGCTTCCCCAGTACAGTCATAATCTGAGTGTGGCGTTTGCATTACTGACCACTGAAATTCCTGGGAGTAGATGTCAAAGCCTTCTGCAAGGCAGAGTCAATCTAGACTTGTTTGTTTGTTTGTTGATGTTAAGAGTTTATGATAGGAGAAATATGTTGGTTTAGCCAAAAATCAACTGATTGGCTTACTGCCAACATTACTGAATATTAGTGAGTAATATCTAATGAAAAAATCTTTTGCTTTGAATGTACGCCCTGTACTTTCAGGAAGAGCCCGTGATTTGAATCTTAAGTTTGCACCTTCTAAATTAGTAAGGCAAGTTATCACTGTGACTGTGGTCTACTAAGTCCCCGTAGTCTCTGTCCTGCAAACACTTACTGCATATGCTTACCTTTAGTATCTTAATATACCCAGAGGAGGCCACCAAGGCCTGGACGTTGCTATTTTTACATGCATGAGTGTCAAAGAAGCATATCTGATCTAAGATCCATTTTAAAAGTTTTAGACTAGAAAGTATATTACCTTTAACTCCTGAGCCAAGGACGAGAACTATATAAGGGATTACCAGAAGGATTTTGGTCTGTGCAAATAGGAGGCTAACAGTCTGTGGGTATTTAAGAAGCACAAAGTTGTTCACGGCTGGAATGAGGTTTGAGAAGCACTGCAGGGTAAATGGGGAACCTGGGCAATGGGAAAGGGCAACATTTCTCTTGGCAAAAAAATTTAGGGAGTAGCCACAGGGAAATCTTGTCATAGTGTAATGGTAGTTTGGGGATGAGCCTGATAGCACTGTAGCGAAGTCGCACACCCTTCTCGGACGTGACACCACTGTGCGAAGAAATACTTTCACAAACCCATGGAGAAATGGAGACTAAGGTTTGAACTTGAAAGAAATCCTTGGAGTAAAATTCGATGCATGTGCCGGTTTTCACGCTGTTGGTGAACGTGGGTTTTGCCCTCTGAGGCATCTGGCTGTGATGGGCTGCAAGAATATCATGGCATTATCATCTGGAACACGGCAAGTGCTTAATGATGTTTAGTGTGTATTTAAAGTGCTGTCACTAAGACCTTTCTAAAATCTTATGTGAGTCAGTGAAAAGTGATGTGCTGTAGTAAAGGTTTACCTAGTTCAAATCTGAAAGTCTTTTATGTGTGGGATGAATGAGAGCTGTACTGAGGATCATATCATCATCCCCAATCCTGGATGACAGATTGCAATGTTTGGTTTCCTAGCATGGGTTTCCATCTATATCTCCTTTTGGGAGCAAGGAAATATTTCAACAACATACATCTTTGGAACGATTTGGAAGGTACAGGCTCTTCCTCTCACCTCCTCCCGGCACAGGAAGGTGTCCAGTTTCTTTTGAGGCGGGAGAATCTATGAGAGGAGTTCTTGATGAGAACGTGTGGAAATCTGTTGAAGCCCAGTAATATAGGGAACCGGGCTGTTTATTTATCCATATGTTCAAGCCTTTGTCTTTGCAGTGGTTTGTTTGGCAGCTGGGGAAAGAGCGGAGGTGACGGCCTGCAAGATGTCTGAGGCCTACATAGCTTTTGTTGTAGGTGTGTAAATTCCCACCGAGAGAGCGACCTGTGAATCAACTGTCATCTCGGGTGCTTCCCTCAAGTCAGTGCCTCTCTCCATCGGTGTCTGCCGGCGTGAAGCCGGGCTGCTGAAGCCAAGAGAGGTCTTCGCCTGCTGTAGCTAGCTGCTGGGGGGACGCTACTAAAAGGTGCTCTCAGTAATAACGGTAATAACATTGTTCTTTGCCATTTGGCTATACATTTTGTTGGTTATAACTATACTGAATAAAAGAACAAACCCACAGTTTGGTAAAGCCACTTGCTCATTTGAGACCCCTGAACTGAAGGAATAGAAAAATAGTTATTGCCAGAGAGGCCTAGCTATTTCACATCCCTGTCAGAGGGTCTGGAGGTATGTTCTCATTATATACAGTCATTTATGAGGACTTTAAAAAGGACTGTTCAACAGGTGTTTGAAGAGTTGGTTTATTTTAGCAGTTCCTGTGAAGCCATAAAACCACCAGGAGGCAAAACTGCTTTGTTTGGGAAGTCAGGACAGCTGGTGAGGGAAATTTTAACTTCAGAACAGAGCCACCCAACCAGTGGCACTCTGGCCAATTCGACACCGCACACTTCATTTGTGCCAGAGGACATGAGGACGGCGTGTGAACTCCAGAAACACCAACCGTCTCTTTAGACACCTGCGTGGGCAGCTTCAAACCCAATCCATATTGTCCATGGTGGAAGAGGGAGCTGGCCGGCAGGCCCAAGGAGACAGATCTCCCAGCGCTTAATCAGTCATGAGTCACCACAGCTATACAGTTCACGGGGACGGCCCATCAAATGGAGATCACAAGATAAACTGTTAATTAAAACGATTAAAAGATTTAATTCCCAACATGCACGAGCCTTGGTTATGGTGTCCAAGTCCTACAAAATACCAAGTACAAGGAAGAAACAATGGTTCCTATTTACCCCCTAAATGAAGTACCACATGGCTGAGCACCACCTGGTTCTCAGCTGGGCTGCCCTGTTGAAGGAGTATTGTGCAATCTCCATTAGTAGGGCCAAATATGTATTTATAAAACAACTGCTGCGTAAACTATCTAATTAAGAGATAAAAAGGAATACTGGATCTCAAAATTCGCAACGGTATTTTCCCCATGTTTCCATTTCTCATTACCATAAAACTGTTTCTTATTTTCCATTTGTATATATCTGCGGTTTTATTCTCGATGTTAGAAATTCATTCCCATAACTAGTAAATCGCTCTAGTTTTTTCTTTTCTTTTTCTTTTTTTTTTTAAGTAGTGTGATTCATCAGTGAATCAGGGTTCATTCTAGAAATCAACTCCAAATTGGATTGAGTCCAAATGACAACGAAAACCAGGGGATCAGGATATAAAGCTATGCCAGAAATGTGTTATCAGAACAACCTAGTGAAATAAATGAAAATAAACCCACAACAACAGTAACTCATAATAACAATAACAGCAAAACTATGCAACTCCTGGCCTGGCAGGAGGAGCGTACTTTGAGACCCCTCATATCACCAGATGGTTTGAGAGACGGGGTGGCACCCCCCGGGCACATCTCCTTCCCTGCCATCTGGGCAGGCATGGGCACCCCAGCCCTCAGGGTGCCAGCGCCTGGAGAAGCCGGGACGAGGCCGAGCGATCGCGTGCAGCACTCGGCAGCACCAAAATCCAGGAGCAGCGTTGCAGGTGGTCCCGGTTGCGACAGCCACGCGTGGGGAGTCGTGCCGTGGCGCACGCCGTCAGCTTACCAGAGAAGCTGCTGCAACTCTGCGGGCCTGGAAATCTTTAAGGTCTCATAATTTACTGTTCCTTCTAGTTCCTGATTCTCGTTTCTAGAAATCCGCCCTAGGATGCCTCTATAACCTTTAGCTTGTTTAGAGAAAAATTTTTATCCAATACTCTGATTGGTTCCATGTAAAACTGGAACACACCAGGAGTCACAGCATCACATTTCATGTTAAAGGACAAGGCAAGAGTAATGGAAATATATAAAAAAAGCACCAAATTAAACAAGCATGAACAGAAGCTAAGGTTCAGTGATGTAGCTTACATGGAAAATGTCAATCAAGAGAACTAAAGTATGAAGAAAAGCTTCTGGATGATTTATAGGAAGACTGCAGCTGCTAAATCTCAATTCACCTCACCATATGTAATCCTCATGTTATACCACAATTCATGAAATTACTCTGTATTTAAATGTAGTTTTGCAAGCTGGGCGAACTGGAGCTTGTCCCTAGCTTAAAAAGGTTGGATGTGCTGCTCTACGATGCCTTGTCATCTTCTTTTGCAGCCACTTAATGTGACTGTATATGGAAGAACATTTGTGTGTCACGTCTGTTGTAAGGCTAATCAAATTTACAGCCCAATTCTAGGGAGTTAATGCTATGGGGGATTTGGATGAGCTGAGGTTTGGTCATTACAAAATTTCAGCTGTGTTTAATGCTAGTTATACTGCTTTATCATTCAGAAGACAGACTATAATTCTTCTTTAAAACTACTTT